ATTCGTTAAGGTGGAATTGGTTATTTGGTAAAAAACAAACATTAATTTTTTTTTTTTTTGTGAAACAAAAAAAAAAAAAACCTTTTTTTCAAAAAAAAAAAATTACTAAAAAAAATTTAAAAACCCCCATTTTTTTCCCTTTTGGGCTTTTTTTTTTTTTCCCTCCCCCCCCCCCCCCCCATCCCGTATTTTAATAGCCTTCAATGCTATGCATGTCGCTTCCTCTGTAAGAATTCTCTTTTTACGTATCAGTCCGCTCGCAGGATTTCTTTTAGACAAGTTTCTCTTGCAGGAAATTTTTTGGGGAATTGTCACCCCACCTCCGGTTATTTCTAATGGTCCGTCCCTAAACAGACTCTTTTTAAGCCCTAAGGGACAATTTAGTTCTACAGGCCAAAGTCTGAACCATTTGAGCACAATTTAAGCCAAAACATGCAGCTCCATCAAAAGACTATTCGAGCACACGCTGGGACAAGTATCAGCCCGTGGGTTCAAATCAGTCCTCGGTAATTGGACCATACTGGCCCTGAGGCGGCCATATATATTAGACCCAGAAAAAGGGCTGCATCAGAGAACTCACTGAAACGGCCCCTATTTTTTTTCTTTTTAATTTACAGTGTGGGTGTGGATATTAAATAGAGTTTGCCTCGGCGCCATCACACCGTTATTTTTTGTTTTTCAGTAAACCCGTTTGTTTGCGATGATTATGTGATACTCTGAATAAGCATGTAGTCCACAGGTAAGAAAAATAAAGACAAAAAAAGACAATATATTCGGTTATTCTTGGAAAGCGCATCGTTTCTGTTGTGGAGGTGCGGCTTCCTGTTTATTGTTTTTGGCTTTCATTGTGATCCCCTACCAGTAGGAGCTGCTGGTAAGGTCTCCCCTAATTGGTCGCAATTTTTTTTCTAATTGTTTTAGTATTGTTTGGGGTCAGGGAAACGCGCCATTCAGTGAGTTCTCTGCCGAGCAGCTGCTACATGATGCCTTTCATTGAAAATAATAAAAGAATCGGGAAAAGAATTAGCGAACAAGATTGGAGCTTAGGCCCAGTTCAAATGCCAAATTTCACTCAGCACATGTACCAAACTTAATTCTTATGTTAGTCGACTAAAATAGTTAAATATACGGCATTTGATTCAAACCGTCGAATTTAACTCCGTTCGCTGTCAATATTCCCAGTCTCTCTCATAATAATTTACTTTCACATGCGAAATGCGACGTTTGAATCAAAAGTCGAACCTAAGTCGAATTTTCGACTGTTTCAATCTCAGATACGGCGAACTGAGTCTCATTGAATTTAAACAGCCGAGTCGATCGGCACAACCGGGCCGCTTACTGAAGTGAAGGCACCATTTGCAGAACTAAGCTTAACGTTGTCGTAATATCGTAATGAAACTCACAAAGATTTCGTTTCGTAAAGTTATATATTTTATGGCAAGTGGTTTCTACCAAAGAATAATTTTCAGACTGAAAGAAAGTACAAAGTTATTTCAGAGATATATCACAATGAAAGGAAAAATCAGACTGATATTGTTTATCGCGTACGTTATATACCAGACAGCAAAGTTGAACCAAATTATACGAAGTCCAAACTTTACAACAACTACATTCATATCGGCATCGGGTACTTGCGAGTTGAAAGTGAGGTTATATTTTGTTATTTTCGGTGCTAAAACTAGCGATTATCCTGCGACTTGGCCGACATAACTGTAGAGAAAAATAACAACATGGTAAACCAATTATCCCTTAGGAGCCTGATTACAAAAAGGGAGGGTAACCCTGATGCCAGGGCGACCCTGAGGGTTAGCCCAGCATTCGTACATTTCTTCTTTTTCTAAGCGACGTGTTAAAAAGGCAGATAGGGTTGCTCTGGCGCTAAGGTAACCCTTTCACCAAAGTTACCCTCCCTCTTCGAAAACGGGCCCTCAGAAACTTGACAAAAGAACTTATGGATGCTTACAGCACCCCCACCCCCTCCGCCTAATTTCAACTTTTCTTAGAAAAAAGGAAGCCTTCCTTGAAGTCATTCTTGTGCAACGAACAATTTGTGTTGCTAGAACGGTGAGGGTATAAGGCGGAATGAGTTTGCGGAATTGCTTATGGCATTGCTTGCCGAATGGCATAATTATGCGGAATTTGATTTATGGAAAATGGCGCAAAGAAAAAATTCAACAGGAAAGCATGCGCGCGTCTCTGCCGCGCTTTTTTGGGGCCAGGAGCAATCGATTTGCTGGTCCATTTATTACTGTTATTAAAGCAAGACTAAAATTGAAACACAGCTGATACACCAATACTTGATACTAAATCATCCATAACTCGTTTACAAAATAAACTGAAACGGTTCTTTACTCATCTCTTTTCCAGCGAGGCGCATTGAAAGTACAAAAACATGTCAAGTTTAAACAGTCTTCTATTGAGTTCAGTTACTCTCCTCATTACATAGAATGAAACACTGCAACGGCGGACGATGTAAAATAGAAAGGAAGAGAGAGGACCCTGGGATCGAGGCTGTTAGATGATGGCAGAGTCGGTATTCCCAAATGAAATAAAGAAATAAGTCTCTTAAATACGCGCAGACGTACTGTGTCACAAATCTGTCTGGGGTTTTTGGGTATATAACCTGTGCTACTCAAATCAAGGGTCACTCTTTACGGTATTGCTTGAGGGTAAAAAACGCTCGCTGAACGTAAAATTGGGCTAGCAACAACTCTAGGGATTTTAAATACGCCAGTGAACGAATCAGATCATATTCGAGACTAACTGAACGCCTCAAGTGAAACATCAATCCCTAATCCACAAATCGAGTGAAGCAGCGAACTTCTCTCTGTCTCCTTTAGGCTTTTCCGCGTCTCTTCGCACCTCCCTTGTTTGTTTGAACTAGCCAATAGTTATGTATTTAAATAAACAGTTAGTGTGATGCCGAACCGGCTTTACTAAATTAATAAAGGTAAAGGAGAAAAAATGCTAAAAGTAGGAAGGAAAAGAAACAGAAAAGAAAGAACGAAAGACAAAAAGCACACAAACTCGATTGCCGCCAGNTTTTTGGGTATATAACCTGTGCTACTCAAATCAAGGGTCACTCTTTACGGTATTGCTTGAGGGTAAAAAACGCTCGCTGAACGTAAAATTGGGCTAGCAACAACTCTAGGGATTTTAAATACGCCAGTGAACGAATCAGATCATATTCGAGACTAACTGAACGCCTCAAGTGAAACATCAATCCCTAATCCACAAATCGAGTGAAGCAGCGAACTTCTCTCTGTCTCCTTTAGGCTTTTCCGCGTCTCTTCGCACCTCCCTTGTTTGTTTGAACTAGCCAATAGTTATGTATTTAAATAAACAGTTAGTGTGATGCCGAACCGGCTTTACTAAATTAATAAAGGTAAAGGAGAAAAAATGCTAAAAGTAGGAAGGAAAAGAAACAGAAAAGAAAGAACGAAAGACAAAAAGCACACAAACTCGATTGCCGCCAGGATTCGAGCTCGCGCTTCTCGGCCAGTTGTTAACTTCGCGTGCCTGAAACCACGCAGCCAAGAAAACAAAATACAAGACACCTTAATTCGATCTCTGAATATTATGTCAGGAACAATCACGCGACCCACTGTCTGAAAAACAAACGCTTCTCACACGGTTTCAAATGCAAACAAGATGAAAAAAGTGACGTTAATCGTACAAATATCTTTTGCAGAAAAAAATTAAAGCAGAAGAGAGTGTGACCTTCCAAAACATCTTGTCTTCAATGGCCAACTTTCGTGCTGTAGTATCGGTGCTGCCAGCGGCCCGACTGATAAAGGCAAGTAGAGTCTTTGTGGCTGAACAAAAAGCTAATCGACCGTGAGAAATCAAGAGGTAGTTTCTGGATTTTTGATTGTCATCGTGGTCGAGCGCGCAACATTAAAGAAGCGGCTGCTTGGGAATTGATCGGCGTCAAAAAAGGGCGCAATTTTCAGTTTAATTTATTTCTTTAAGTCATTCTGCATATATTACATGTCGCATAATTATGTCATTCCGCAAGCCATGCCACATGCCATTCAGCAAACTTATTCCTCCTTTTACCCTCATCGTTACTAGAAGGGACAACTGAAGTGGAGGAACAGAATATAATGGGCACGCTCTTTCCAACATACAGGCCGCCGATTCAAGTTGGGCAGAAATTAGTGGCAATTCAACAACAACTCGGTGCTGGGAATTTTGGTGATGTTTACAAAGTAAAGGACGTGGCAACTTCAAGCGAATATGCGTTAAAAGTTGTGGTTTGTGGCGGACAATCGAAAATCAGGAAATCCGATGTAAAGAAAGAAATTCAAACATTACGTAAAATTTCCCATCCAAACATTATCCAAATCATTGAGGCAGGTTGCTACAAAGGAACTCGCATGCCCGGGGCTCCCACGAAAGTGTTAATTTTAACAGAATACTGCCCAGGCGGAAACTTGAACGACCGCCTCGATCAAGCAAGCACCGAAGAAGTCGATTGCAAGTGGATTCTTCAGATGGCAGCAGCCGTTAGCTTCCTCCACGCAAGCAGTGTTGTTCACCGCGACTTAAAGCCAGAAAATGTGCTCCTGACCGCGAGTGATGATATAAAGGTAGGCGATTTTGGTTTAGCCCGAGAGTTTATCTCACCTAAAGAAACCACTGCATAGAGCATTAATGGCTGGGTGATCACCTGCGCCAAACACTACATGAACACATTTGCTGGTAGTCTTTATTGGATGGCTCCTGAAGTTTTTCGTGGACACTACAATGAGAAGGCGGATGTATTTTCTCTTGGAATTCTCATTTTCGCTATATTGGAAAGAAATTTCATTGAGTTAAGCGGGAAAAGGTATTATGGTGCGTTCGTTCCTTTTGAATTCCAAGTTGTTGGCCTTGGGGAAGCAATGTATAACTCTGGTCCAACAATAACAGCCAGAGTTTCACTCCAAGCTAGAGGATCCCCCTCTGTACAGACGATTGCTCTGAATGCCCTGAAGTACGAAGCAAAAGATCGCCCAAGCGCTGCAGAGATTTTTAATCAAATCACTAGTTCTGTTTCTCCTGCTAGTAGTGTGTATCCAATCCAAACCCAGACCAAACCCAAACTCCCACCCAACACCCGGTATCGTGCACCCAAGTCCCTACCCATCACCCGGCATTGTGTGCCTAAGCCCCTACCCAACACATGGCATTGTGCACCCAAGTTCCTACCCAACACTCGGTATTGTGTGCCCAACCCCCACCCAACACCTGGTATTGTGCACCCAAGTCCTTACCCAACACCTGGTATTGCACACCCAAGTCCCAACCCAACACCTGGTATTTCGCACCCAAGTCCCCACCCAACACCCGGTAATGTGCAACCAAGGCCCCACCCAACACCCGGTATTACGCACCCAACTACCTAACCAACACCTGGTCACTTAACAGCACAGCCCGAACC